GCCAAAGCAGGTGCTGGTACGCAACGTGCTGGATGACGGAGATACGCCACCAGCAGCAGGTCACCCTCCCAGCCGCGGAAAACCTTTCGAGCGTGTGGCCAATTCAGCAAAGGGTTACGTGAGAGACCAGCGCAAGCCAAGGCCTTGGCCGAATGCAGGTGCATGCGCACGGGAGCAAGTGCTTGCAGCCAGTCGAAGTGTTCTTGCTGAGCCTGGCCAACTGAAACAGCAGGCTGGTTTAAGCAACACCCCGTATCTGAGAAAGCACCCGGCCTGAGGCAGCAAAACAGTCTTTTCCTCATCCTCTTCCTCCTCTTCTTCCAAATCATCCGCCGAGCGACGGAAAATCCAGCAGCCCTGGAGCGGTTGCAATTACAATGCAAAATCGCAATCGGCAGGCAAAGCTTCAGACACAGCGCCAAAGATGCGAAGGGCACACCTGCTGTGCGATGGGAATCTCATTGCTTAAGGTCCTGCTAAAGCTCAACCAGTATTGACGCCGCTTCACCTCATACACGCGAGCGGACCACCCACCAACATACAAACTTCCGCGTGTTGCTATCCACCGCAGTCTGTCCGAGGAAGGGGCAGCCCGCAGCAGCATCTCGGCGAGAATTGCAAACACGAGGGCGCCAAGTCCGCTACTCTTGGCCTTTGTTTTTGAGCCCTATGCAATTTTCAAGACGTGACATGCTCCTTAAGCCTGTGTATACTGAGGGCGACGCGGCGGCTTGGTTCGCCATGCTCAGGAACTAATGGCACGCTAGCTAGCCGCTAGCTTGTATTTAGACATACAATGATGGCGGAAATTGAACCTGACGTATCTCATGGTATGAGAGCATTCACTTGATGTGCATGGATGGGGGGATGCCTTGATGATGGCATGGCAGGTGCATTGTGTAATTGTTTGTTGCCCGGACGGATGTCTGGAAACACGGTGTTGGAGTGTCGTCACTTGCGTTCAGTCACGGGCTAAAAAAAGGAAGCGGCAACGACGCATATGCTCTAAATCCATGCAGTTTGGAACCATTTCCTGGATAGCAAGCAAGAGACCAAGGATGCAACATCTGCTTCAGCCAGATGAATTACATGTAAGCAGTGGGTCCCTTTCCCAATACACGCACACATTTGGCTTTGCGACAGTTACTGGCATGTTGTGGCTCTAGCTCGTTTAGATTGGCTTGACAGGTCGCCCGTGTGTAACGGAGACCAGCACAGATTCAGCAATCGCGTTTTTCGACGACAATCGAGAAAAACTGCCTCTATATCTGAAGTGAAACTGCAAATCTGACGCGCTCATCGCCCAGCTGCTTCTTGAACAGGTCCAATTCAAATTCCTTGGAAATGAGAGAGTCGTAATCCCTTCGTACTGGTTTAACGACTGAGAATTTTATTGGGCACACCAACCATTGATGGAATACAGTGGGATATGATGTAACTAGCAAAAAACACATGATATATACGATCTGTCCGAAAATGGGGAATCCCATTTTCGAATGGCTATCTCTACGGGGAAAATGATGCTTGTCGGTCCGTCCATCAATCCCCTTACGCTTTTGGTTTCTTCTGCACACCTTCCAGCCCTTTCACAAATCTCTTGGTTCTCTACCCAAAAACCGCGCCTTGCCCAGAGGCAGCAGCACAAGCAACAGCAGCAGACCAATCAGCAGACCATTGCAAAGCCTTTCCAAAACATTTCCGGGTTGGTTTTTGAGCGGCTGCAATTTTAACGGGGCCCGAACGCGCTTCGAAATCAAATTTTGGGAGATTGACCCCCCTAAGTCTCCCTACAAACTCTTTGGTAGTTGCACGCTTTTGCATTCTTATGAGAACAGTCAAACTCAAGAGCTTTCCGCGGTGAAGCAGAAGAGGAAACCAAGCCAAGCAGCAGCTGCCGGCAAGAGCAAGGAGAAAGAAGAGAGGACAAAAGGGCGAGTAAGGGAGGCAGAGGGGAGACAAAGGGACGCAAGCTTGGCAGACAAGGCGGCGGCGACAACTTCGAGCGGGCACACATTGTTTGAGACGTAGGAACCGTGATAGCCAAAGATATTTAAAGGCTAAAGTTGCCCGGGAAACAGAAATCAAAGCCATGGGCAGAGGAACCGCCAGGCATGGGGCAGCAGGTCACGATGACCTATGTTCGATTGTCTATTTTTGAGCCCCAAACCGAAGCAAAACACAATTCAAACGCATTCTTGACGTATTAAACATTTTATATCAATTTCAAAGCTCACGAATCACCACCTAAACGCCACGATTGCAAGGACTTCGTAAAATTTGCCTGCCGGCCTAAATCCAGTATAAGTATACAAGCGCCACGACTTTCATCTTTGGGAGTATAGTGGGTAAACCCACAAAGATATGACAGGTAAGCATCGCGTGCCTGTGTGAAGTGCCAAAAGATACACCAGTAAGTTAAAGTCATAGGCGCTGCTCCTGCAGGCCTTTCCCCACAGGTGCTTCACAATTTGACACAAGACTTTGTCATCGGCACTTGTTACAATATCGACCTCGTACTTTAAAGAGGGGCTGCCAAGGTACGGCCTGGGCAGCATTGTCATCTCGATCTGGATCCTGTATGGGACGAGCGAGTGCAAGAAGGAACAGACATGAGATGAGGAGCCACTTGTAGGCAAAGATCTGAAGAGAAGTCTCAAACAAAGCGAAATGTAAATCAGAGTTGCCTTCAGCTTGGAATCGAATTCTTTTGGCCGCTTCTAGAAGTAACAAACATCTGTTTAACAGTTGCAAGATGTTGCAAGATTTACTGGTGCCCAGAGACGTGCAAATGAAAATGACTGCCAAGCAAAATCACATCGAAAATGGCCATAGCCTTTTCTCTGAGATTTGCTTGCAGACTTCTTCCGAAGCGACTCAGATTTTGCAGGACCTTTTCCCTAGCATAAATAATTGTGATGGGAAAAACGAAAATGAAGGAAACGTCTAACGTGAGATGAGGAGCCGCTTATAGGGAAAGACCTGAAGAGAAGTCTGAAACAACAAACTGAAATCTAAATCAGCATTGCCTTCAGCTTGGAATCGCATTGTTTCAGCCGATTCTTTAGACGAGCCTCCTTAAACACGAGAGCAAGAAGCAACAAGCGCCTGTTTAGCAGATGCAAGACTTATTGGTGCGCGCAGATGCGCGAATGCAAATGACAGCCCAGCAAAATCACATCGAAAATGGCCATAGCCTTGCCATGAGACTTGTTTGCAGGGTTCTTCCGAAGCAAGGCAGATTCTGCAGGATCTTTGCCCTGGCAAAGATACTTGCGATGGAAAAAAAGAAAATGAAGGAAACGTGTAACGACACAAGGAACAAACATGTCTGGCCGATATGAGGAGCCATTTATAGAAAAAGGACATGAAGAGAAGTCTGAAACAAACTGAAATCTAAATCAGAATTGCCTTCAGCTTGGAATCGAACTCTTTCGGCTGCTTCTTTTGACGAGCCTCCTTAAACACGAGGGCAAGAAGCAACAAGCGCCTGTTTAACAGATGCAAGACGTATTGGTGCCCACAGGTGCGCGAATGCGAATTACTGCCAAGCAAGAAGGAGAAGGCACCTTGTCTGTTTCAAGTGCATTGTCCGCAGGTCGCTTTCGAACCTGTTGAAGCACGAGCTCAACAAACATTCTGGTTTTGTTGTGACCTGCAACTCTTCCAAAGGTCATGTAGCTCCAAAAATCCGAACCTTCCTCGTCGGCTCACATTTTGCATCCGGCGTGTCCTGGTAAAAGTAAGCACGATCAGTGCTACAAGTTTGTCTGATTCCTTTGCATGACAAAGAAAAAGAAAGCTCGGCTGAAACCTCCAAGCGACCAAAGTCTGATTGGAAAATAATTTCAGCAGAAAAGTGATGCATTCTGCAACTCCGAACCTCTGCCTTCGACTCGCATTCTCCAGGGCCCGTTCTCTGGCAAAGAAACACATGGTAACAGCATCTGTAAGAGGCCGTGCCGGTGATGACATCACACAGTGCCAAGACGTTGAGGGAAGTGTCCGAAAATGTAGAGCAATTTAGACGTTTTTGTATATGGAAAAACTAGTGTTGTACAAGCACGAATGAGGAGTTTTGTTCGTCGAGGGTTTCGGCGAAATTTCCTTTTCCCTTTCAAGCACAAAGTTGTCCGAGGATGTTCAGGATATTGCATTTGGCTCTCTTGTGCCAGATTGCAGCATGCAAGTGCTTCCACTTTTTTTGGAAGCCCTGTCTGCAGTCTTCATGTGTATGCAATTGCTGGGGACTCGTGTTTTTGACAAATCCCACTGTCTGTCTAAAGTCTGTGTTCTGGCAAAGAAGAACTCTTGCCTGTCGGTTTCCTTTCAAGTGCTTTACTAACTTATCGCGGTTGTGGACAACGTTTTGCCATTTGAGGCGCTTTCTGGCACTTGTTGTTTGGAGGCCCCTTTTCAAGCTTCGCAACCATCAGCATAGCGAGCTGTGCTGGCTCGTAGTATGACATATGTGTGGAAGTGGAAGCGATTGTGCGGCAGCGTAGCAGTACGTATGTGTCGAAATGCAAGAGAACGTGCAGCAGCGTGGCACGACGTCGTCCGGAAGTGCAAGAGAATATACAGCAGCGTAGCATGACGTATATGCCCGGAAGTGCGAGAGAACATGCAACAGCATAGCATGATGTATGTGTGGAAGTGCAAGAGAATGTGCTGGAGCGTAGCATGACGTATGTGTAGAAGTGCAAGAGAATGTTCGTTGGTGTGGCATGACGTATATGTGTGGACATGCAAGAGAGCGTGTAGCAGCGTGGCGTGACGTATGTGTGGAAGCGCTGCAGTTGGAAAACCATGGGCAAACCTGGCAAGTCCCAAGGCATTGTGACGCTGGGCACCATGGCGCAAATGGTGTGAGCTTCTGAGATGGCATCATGCAATCTCCCTCTCGCTACACTCGACAGCTCGTCAGCTTGGCTGCCGTCCAAATGTTGGCCGCTCAGGTGCGACTGGGCCTCTCCCATCGTCGCTTCGACTCAGATTCGGCAGGTTGCAACACCTCCACAAGATACATCTCAGATGTGTGGAATTCAAGAGTTACACCAACCATGCACCACACAAATCCGACACGGCATACCTGACTACATCAGTCAGGAAGGCTCAAGCACATTGGATGGCCTTGGAACAATCTTCTGGTCCTCCTGCCAGGTTCGACATCTATAAACACTTCTTGGACATCCACATGAGTTGTCCATACAGGCACATGGTTCAGGCTCAGTGGAAACATCAAACAAAAACCTGATGCCTGGTGAGCGTCCACGCAGACAAGTTCGAGGCAAATCACAAACAGACCTGTTACAGGCGAACCATGGAGTTCGTTATCGCATGATGAATTTCTGAAGAGACCAACAGCCAAGAAATCCACCGTTGAGGCAGTGACATGCACCGACAACCTGAATGAATGCGGGTTGCATCAATACATGTTGAAAAGTTGGCCGCATCACACTGTATTGCACATCGCAACGGCATCTGACTCAAAAGGAAAACATTGGGACCGGACATTTGATGTATTGGCCTTACAAACAGTCGTATCATGACATGATGAACCCTTGTGGTGCACATTGCACAGCAAGGTAAAACAAATCTGAAAATGCCAAGAAGGGGAGGTAACAACATACGGGTGTTTAAGGGCCCGTCACAGCTGCAGGTCCAACCTGACATCGATGCGGACACAACTACAGTGCTTGCATACATGTAGTGCGCATTACAAGTCTGAATGCAGTGCACATAGCATGCAAATGATTGAACACTTCACTGAAGCCTTCACAGATGAGGTTGTGACCAACCAGGGTGAGCAGCTACTCACATGCCACAGGGCCTCACATGAGGGCACATACCCGCTGCACATTGACATTGAGGTACTGTTGCTGAGACCAATTGTGCACATCAGCAAAACAGCCCAACAGATGAGATCGTGACCAGCACATGCGGGTAAGACCCCAGGGCAACCGTAGCTAAGCCAAACCAGGATACATGAACACACCATCCAACTGCTGTCAACATCTGACAATGCATCTGCAACAAAATTTTGTCTGTGTGCACAATACCTCCAGTTTCGTTTACTTACATGAATCAACTGGTTCAGCTAGTTTTGGACGCGCCAAAACACATTGTGGGCATTGCCACAAATTTATGTGGCCCCCGCTGAGGAAGATCAGGAGGACTGTCTCAAAGGGTTTGAAGCCACGCGCACTGATGGCTCACCACAAAAGGGCATCGTTCAAATGCCACCACAAAATCATCCCACACTTGGTTTGCCATCCACTGTGCAGTGACTCGGGACCAAAAAGGACAGGAGGATGCAGAGGATGCAAGCCTTGAACCCACGCAACCGCGACCAAAAAGACACTATTCTAGCAAAATCTGACCCATATTCCAAGGCTCTTCATATTCCATACCAAAATAGCTCCGGAAGTTTGGAAAATAACGAACGACCTTTGATGGTGAGAATGAAGTTGTGCAACCCTTGTCAGGCGCACCTTTTCCCTTGTCACGTGCTGTCATGTCCAATCGCACATGTTTAAACCCGCTAGGATCCTTTGAGTCTACAGCTTCTCAAGCAATGATTTCTTGAAAAAACATACGGTCTTGTTCCTCTCATCAATCATCAACTTCTCTCTAGGATCTTTTGAGACCATTGGATAAGCTGTTCAGCTTATTTTTTTGACGGGTTTGGCTGGCGGTTCAGCTTCCGCATCCGTAAACTGGACCAAGTCTGGATTACGCTATTCTTCCTCGAACCCAAATCGTATCATATTTCCACTTAATACAGTTACATTGAGTAGGATGCCACCCCTAGAGTACGATGCCCTCCCTGGAGTACGATGCCCCCGTGCTATGCGTTGCCAGTCCTGCATGTGGGATTTCAAGCATATGTTGACATCTTTTTTGATCAAATTGGATCACAAATTCCATTCCATATACGCACAAAGCATCACAATCCATCCTGCAAGACTAACGCGAGAACCGAGGATTTCCATAGCCTGCACAGGTCTAAAGTATCAAAATTTGATGGAATACGAATACGATTGTATGCGCGACTCTTCAAGACGCTGGAAAAAACAACGGTTTTTCCCATATTGCATATTATCATATTCCAGAGCATTTTACTTCCGAAGGAAAAAAGTTTAAAAAAAAACAATCTTCAGGTTCATTTTTTTCAAAAAAAATGTTTTTGGTTGTATGCGATGGTTTTTCTGGTATACGATGACTTTCGTGGAGTACGAGGATCTGTGAGGATGTATGTGGAGTGCGATGGGGTCCTCTGGAGTGCGATGACACCCCCGGAGTGCGATGTCACATGAGTATGCGCGGCCGGAAATCCCCTGACAGATGGATTCTGGGCCACAATCCCCCAAATTCAACAGAGCGGATGCTGGTTGTTGTAAATTAACCGGATTTCAGTCCATTCAACAAACAAGTCAAACAATATTTTGAAACCCTCTCCTTCTTCAGTCTCCAAAATGGGAAACTCACTTATCAGGGCAC